CCAGGCATGGTAATTGTTGACTAACCGTCTCAGCCACCTATCTAACCTGCTCTTGAAAATGTCTAGGGATGGAGAATCTACAGCTACCGCAGGTCGCCTGCTCCAGTGCCCAAGTAAATTCTGATTTTTGTAATGATACAATGCTTTACCACTCAGCAATTCTCTCTCCAATTGTCTATCTATGCCAGCAGACTCCTAGCTAGACGGTATCTCAGCCCCTTCCTGTTACGTAGTAACTGGTCTGTCTATATGGTGTACTTTGTAGTGTGGGGGGGTCTAATAATTAATTACCATATTAATGCAGCATCTCATTTTGATTCAAAATGTTGTCCCTCCATCAGTACCACGCAGATGGCTTGCACAATAACCTGTGACTCATTTTCTGATCCATATGTCAATCCATTTTGCTCTAGCTGCAGGGTGTGAAACGTACTACTGTGCTGCACTTTTCACCCGCACAACAGAACAGGCGGTGGCAAGCATTTGCTTTCGGTGACTCTTGTCAAGGAAGTGGGAGGTGCTCGTTCACACGCTGAATTGCCAGGGTCTTTGGGTCACTTATTTCTAGAGATGCACCACGTTGACCGAAAGAACCTACCTTGCACCTTACCAAAGGCGTGAGCGCTATCTACAACTCCAGCAGAGCACGGTCACTCTTCAGACTGTGTCTACACTGCACCGTAGGGAAGAGTTGAAGGTTGCCCTTGCGTCCACAGCCACTGGTCAGTTGTATTGAGAACTTCTAAGCCCGTTCCACAGCCAGTCTGTCCCGGGAAGCTCCGCTGACCCTCATGTCTGTCCACATCGCTTCCTAATTGGTCTTGGGGGCACTGCATAAGAGCATGCCCTTCCTCTCCTCCTGGTCTGCACATCTCAAACTCACTAATGAGGCAGCAAAATCACCCCCTGCTGCTGCTCTTATATAGGCTCCAGAACAGCTGTGGAGGATGGGTGCACTCTGAGCAGCTTTGCCACTTGTTTTTATTATTATGAGTTTCTGGGGTTATTATTTTTATTATTAGTTAATTATTATTAGTTTCTGGGGTTGGCTGGGGTGACCATATTTCCCTGATCGCAACAGGGCACCACCCCACCTTGGGTATACGCAGCTGTCTCTGAGCTCTAGCTTCAGCTGAGAGTGCTGGAGAGTATATGTATATGTGTATACATGGATAGATATATCTGTGTGTGTGTATATGAATATGTGTGTGTGTTTGTGGATGCACATGTATGCATGTGTGTGAAAACTAGCCCTGTTTTTGCTGGAACTGTCCCATTTTTAAACACATGTCCTGGGCAACCCACTGTGAAAATGAGACAAAAACATTCATTTGCCCAAACTGACAGGAAGGCTGGGACAGGGGTTTCCAATGGGACTGTGCTGGTGAAAATGGGGCATGTGGGTGGACGGGTATGGGGCAGGAGCGGGCAGGCGTGGTGTGTGCAAGGCTGACACTCCCGGGAGCACCAGGACAGCGGCGCAGATACCACTTAGGGCTGGTTTTCCCCACGGGGACAGCAGGTTGTGGTGAGAACATGCTTGGCTAAGCCCCGTTCACCTGTGCCTGTTGATGCACCCCACACCTGGGGGTTGGCTGGTGAACCTGCCCAGGGCCATCTCTAGCAGCCGCTCTCAGGCACAGAGCGAGGGCTCCAAAGCAGGAACAAAAAGATATTTCTGGACACTTCACCAGCACCCTACTGTGTCTGGAGCCAGCCTGAGAGCGTGGGCAGGCAGGGTTTGCTCAGACATGCCCTTGCTCTTGCTGTTGCTGTTGCTGTTGCTGTTGCAGTGCAGACAGGGCTTCGGAGCCCCGAAGCAAAGCTTGCCTCCTCCCTCTGCCTGCAGGATGTTTGGAGCTTACCCAGAGAAACAGATTGCAGGTCCCCCAGCAGCAACCCAAACTCCGACTGCTAGCCCTCTGCAGCCCACTGCCTGCCTCCGCTGCCCATAAGCAGAGCTAAGCGGAGAAGGAGAGCTGCCGGTGGTTCTCCAAAGGGCTGCCCTTGAAGGGCAGCACAGGCAGTCTCCAGGGGAAGCTACGGATGGGGTGTAGAGCCGTGCACGTGGCTTGGGTGGTTGAGCATCAAGTATCAGGGTGGGCCAGACTCAGCTGGGATTAGCCCAAGGGTCCTCCTGTTGGTGTTAACTGCTGTATCCCATCACCCCTATGCATGGAGTCACAGGAGAAGGAGACGGAGCCAGACCTCCACATTTCTCTCCTCCTTCGGATTTTAATGCAGACTTTCCGGTGCTGGCATTTCCCTCCAGTTTGCTGCTTTCTTGATCAGGGGTCTAACCCCTAGTGCAGAGAGGAAGGAGAAATAAGTATGTTGGCAAAATAAGGGGGACTTGGGGATTAGGAGTCAGGAAAGACTATGTGTTTTCCTTGGCAAGGGCTCTGTTCCAGTCTTTTGTACTTGTATGTTTGTATATTTTTCCTGCAGATGACTGCTAGTTGCCTCGTCAGGCATGATCTCCCCCCCTCCTCTCTGCTCGAAGCGACTGGGAGGTTTAAGCAGAATGTTAGATTTGAGTCTGAAAGTCTTTAAAGTTGGTGAGGGGGAGGTTTTCTACTGGCAGTTTAGATTAGGCTTGCCTCCAGTAGAAATCCAGTTAGGGCTCTGTCAGGAAGGATTTTGATTTCTTCATTTTTTATTTATTTTTTGATCGTGTAAGTCATTTGTTCATGCAAAAAATACCATCTTTCCCTTCCCCCTGTATGCCACTCTAGTGAGTGCTGACAATGCAAGGCTTAACTACATGGGTATCCTTTTTATGCCTGTGGAAGTGCACCAAAGCACTCAAATCCTTTTTTACAAAAAGAACAAAGACCTTTGTTTCTTGCATCTTTTTCTGCCTTGCACTAGTTGCTGCACTGTCGTGGAACCTTGTAGGGCTGGGGCTGTGATCTCTTTCTCGATCAGCTAGTCTGTGTTCATTTCAAAGGAAAATGCCCTGGGATTTGGGAGATCCTGCCAGTTATCTTTGAAGCTGGTACAGTGAATTGTCAAAGTTGGGGCGTGGTGGAGCACTGGTAGTGTTAGATACAGATATATGTTGGCACGGGAGACTTCTGAAGGGTATCCTTTACCTGCTGTGATTGGATCTACAAACTGAGGGGGGACCAGGAGCAGCACCTAAATGGGAAAACCCTCTTGGAGCGTCTTGTGGTGAGAAGCAGTGCTGATGCTCCAGCGGGGGATGCGCTTCTTTCTAGACGCTGTGCTTCAGTTTGGTGCTGAAGGGAGGAGCAGTCATTTGGCTGAAATGCAAATTGAAATCCTGACCCTGTGATTACAAAAGGTCCCGTGGCATCTTTTGTGAGAATAGAGGTTTTAACCCGGTTTTTCTTTCTAATTTCAGTTGGGTCGCTTAGATTCTCTTATTAGCTTGTCCAGCAGCTTTAGACATTGTCAGCAATAAAAAGTTGTACTGCTTGAACTACACCATGACAGACACAGCTCTTCCCTCCACCCTCTACAGCAGGGGTGGGCAAAATGCGCCCTGCCAGGCTGTTCTATCTGGCCCGCGGGGCCCCTAAAACATGTAGAAAATTAATATATATCTGCCCCTGGCTGCCTGTCATGCGGCCCTTGATGGCTTGCCAAAACTCAGTAAACGGCCCTCTGCCCAAAATAATTGCCTGCCCCTGCTCTACAGTCTGGATAGATAGAGCTAGACAGGGCTTTGATCACACCCTCACTGTTCCCACAAGGGAAGGAGAAGGTATTCTAGTAGTATAAGGCTCTTGAGGACCAGTACAATCAAGTGCACCGCGGAAGTCCTTTTAGTACATCCATATCAGTTAAAAAAATCAATGTAGTTATGCTAGTACAAAAATGGTGTAGAAGAGGCCTGAGCTTGACACTGTTCTCCTCACTTCCTGACATAAACCACTATTTGTCGTTGCAAATGTGCTGCTCGATAGCTTCTGAATTGCCTCTCGCGGTAGGCTCCATTTTGCTCCCAGCCTATCCCTTGCAAGAAAATGAACGTTATATGCCAGCTCCCCTTATGCACACCTCTCCTGTGCTAGTGATGAATGTGCGTAGTTTTAAGCAGACTGCCCTATGCTGCAAAGAGGTCTTCTTCATGCAGAATAAGCGTGGCTACACAAGGGGTTGGTATGGAAGAGTTGGTATGCTTTTAATTCACACCTTGTTTCACACTGAATTCCCCGTGCATTCCTTCTTGCAGTCAGCGGGGCTGTGAACTTCACTTAGGTAAGATCTGTGTGATGTTCTTTGAGACCCTCAAATGAGATGCAGTGGTTACGTACATGCAGCATGGCATTAGTGAGTAGACTGCAGCAATCTCCGGCAAGCTTTGAAGTCACACTGATTTCTTTTCTCGTGCAAAGGTGGGGAGACGAGGAAATGTTGCGACGCTACGTTATCTTCCATAGTCCTGGGGCAACGGTCAGATCCTGTTAAGCAAGGCACTTAGATGCATACTTAGTTTTGAGCTACGTGCTTAAGTCCCGTTGACTTCACTGTGGCATAAAGTTAGGCATGGGCTGTAATACTTTCCATACAAGTGAATGTAAGAGCTGTACCGGTGCCAGATTTCAGTGCTTTAATTTTGCTAGCTGAGAGCCAAAGCAATTGTATGATATTTGCTACTTGGTACATTTCCACCCTTCTGTAACAATTGAGTACGTGTCTCTAGAGTAATTTGATCACTCCCACATTTGCAAAGAAGTCCTTTAGCTTTGGGAGAAAATCACTTTATAAACCCAGCCATTATTAAACATTCACTCAGATTCCTTTATGACAGAAAAGTATGGAAGGAATATGCCAGTTCTTGTTTGCTGCTTGCCAAACAGCCTACAGGAAAGGTGGTGAATGACATATCAAAATTACCTGGAGCAGGTCCTGGACTCTAATGGAATTGAAAGAATGACAGTCGTCAGCATAGCTCAGTGCACAAAACAGTCATCTCAAGAAGATATGTAAATGTTATGAACTTTTAATTGTAATTTTCCTTACGTAGGCTTAAGATGCAACAAAAACCATACAATTATTTTCTTGGCCGTGGGTCAGATGTAGCGACCAGTTTCGTACTCGGCTTTCTTTAAATTAGGCAAATAAAAATGTAACTCTCACCTTTTCCCAGCCGGGGCTCAGAGCATGCTTGTTTATGTTGTGTAACCCCTGCAAAAGGGTGAACCAAAGGGAGAGGGGCTTAATTCTCATTTTCACTACAGCCCCTTCACGTTGCCTTGACGAAGAAGGCTTATGGTCGATATAAAAGCGCTTGGAGGTACGCTTGTGCTGCCCGAGTGGTGTAAAGGGACCAATGTGTGAAGGAAAGTCAGGCATGATATTTAAAAGTGGCTTGTCACTGATTGTCCATTAGATCTCGTCTTTGCAAACTTTGTTGCCAGCTGCGAAATACACGGCGTAGCTTGGCCTCCCGAGTTTAGGCACTGTCATGGAGCGCTTGACCCCAGTGCTTGGCTAGTTCACCTATTTTTTACAGGCTTCCTCGTGTCCTTTTCATAATCAGGCCCAACATACACATTCAAACGCACATGCACGCTTTTTGCTGCCTCAACACCATTTCCCCTTTGCGATGCAAGCAATTAGCTGCCTCCTGCTGGCTCTTGAACTAGCCGTTAGATGGCATCACAGAGTAGCATTAACTGCGTCCTTCTTCCCTTTGAGCACAGCGTATCTTGACACAGATCCATATTTGAATTGGCCTTTTGTGCAACAACAGCCACCCCTGAGCACTGTTGCAGTAACTCATTTAACCATCTGAAAAAAGACCATAGTAGGGACAAAAATCAAGTATAGGAGAATAACGCTCACAATGCCAGTGCAATGACACCCCTCCAAAGAGGCAGGAGATTTCCAGGATCAGCCTTTTCTTTATTTAAAAATTGCGCAGATGTAACTTTTTCAGTTTAGTACACAGAAGTATGATTTCAAGATCGATATTGCGTGTATACACCCATACAGACCTTTCTGTCTTTGCGTATTTCTATGTACACATGGATACAGCGCCCATACACAAAATGTTTTACTGGTTGGAAGGACATTTTCTGGTAAAAATTCTGACGGAATTAGGCAGGAAATGTAAAAAAAGAAAATGGATAGATACTTTTATTGTGCACTTTGTTCACATTTGGGGATATCAGATTTGTAAGCAGTTTGCATGTATAATATGCTCTTTCAGTATGTGCATTGCACTCTGCTATTGTTAATGTCATTGTGACTGCTGTAATACTACCCTATAACCTAGCAAATCGGGCATGCTGACAAAATTAAGCAATAAGTCACTGCACAGTCTCGCATGCAATGGGTTTTCAAAACCAAAATGGCTCACAGCACACAGCCTTTCCATTTCAGAACGCCTTTTCATGTCGGATTTTCACCATATGTATTGAAAACCACAAATAGGATAGTGCGGTAAAATGAGCAGTGCCATTCTCATGACATGAAACATTAGGTGTGAAACGGCGTTGGGCTTTGGTGACGTGTCTGCTGTCCCGGGGACTGCACTCAGGATGATTGTCCAGTTGACCTCCAAGGAGAGGCTGGTTTTTTTGGGGCAGAAGTGTAGGATTTGTTTTCGCTGTATTCAACATTAGGCACAAACCAAAGAAAATTGCTATGTATGCAAATTTCTACTCAACGGTGAGCAAATTCATAATGCATAGATTGACTTAACCTGTATAATTATAGTAAATATAGACAATAATTTACAGTGTTTTATCTTGAAATATATTAGTGCTGCTATGAGGAAACAAGAGAGTATGACTTACTTATAATGACTTACCATTAACATTTCCATACTGCAAATGAGACAGATTAAGTTGACAGTATGTATTACTTAGCTTTGTACCAATTAACTGGGAAAAAAAAAATGCTATGAATTCAGTCATTTATGATGGAAGCTACATAAAAATTATGTAATTACTGCAGTGAGTCAGCTAGTTAAATGGCACTTCTATATGGGCAAATTGATTTTGATGCAAGATTAATAGCCTTTTGCTGCTATTGTACGTGCTTGCCAAAGAGCATACTACATTGTTGCTAAGCATCATTAATGGATTAAAATAAGGGTTCTGCATAATTCCTACAGTGTATCTTCGAACAGCTTTTTTAGCTTCTGCACTAGCCTAGCTCTTGTTAGCCCTATAAAACATGCAGATCTGAAAGGCTGACACCTCTGAGTAAGGTTAGTGTAATCCTAAGAACTCTTTCAAGAGCTCGCAGGTTTTCTTGTGGATGACCTCGCGCAGCTTTCGTACACGCCGGACGCTGGAGACGCCCACAAAGCTGTCTGGCTGCAGGACGGCCATCCCGTTATGGACATCGCCCATGATGATGAGCTGGCCATCTACCGTGGTCATGTTGGGGCACGGGCAGCTCCAGTCCATGTTTAAAAGTGTGATTTCTAGAGGTTCCTTCCCCAGGAATTTTAAGCCCATTTTTTCGTCCTTTAGGATCTCCTCCACCGTCACCAGGGCATGCCCAGAGTCTTGGTCTTCGGTCAGTTCTGTTATACGGCCCAGGATCACAAAGTCACTTTTGCAGAAGCTTGTCACCAGCTTTTGGCGAGGCTTGCAAGCTTTGCAGTGCGTGTTCTTCGGGAAAGGGCACATCTCTTCGCAGGCCTCTCTGCTCTCAAAGTTATTCTCGTTGCCTCCACACCCACCATAAATGAAGGACTGGCATTGCTTTGTCAAACTGTTATACGCCCATCTGGGCTCATAGGCTTTGCAGTGACCTTGAAGGGCTGGCAGGTTGCAAACGTTGATTGGACCGTTCATGCAGGTCAGCATGCAGTTCTCATAGGTGTCAAAGTGGTTCAGGTTGCTGTTGCAGTTCCCATAGATAAATGTAAAGCAGTTGTTTTTCTTCGCATCATAATACCATCTGGTTTGCTCCTCCCCACAGTCTTCACTGTCTGGCTGCTTCAGACACTCGTCGGTGGGGAAGTGGGTTTTGTTTTGGGACGCTTCTTTATTTGCAGGTTCTCCTTTGACGACCGATAAGGGGAAATCGGCTCTGAGAAGGCCGCCGCTGTTCTTGGCGCTGCAAGTGTAAATGCCTGCGTCTTGCAGCTGGGTGTTATAGATCACCAGCTGGGCAATGTTGGTCACCACAACGTTCCCTCTGACGTGGTTTGGCTTCATTATGATCTTTTCCTTACCATCTACTTGCTTCTCCCAGGTGATTTCTGGCTTGGGCCTGCCCGTGACATCGCAGAGAAAGCTAACGGTCTCCCCCACGTAGACCGACTGATGGACTGGATTGTTAACTAGAGCAGGTGGAAGGACATCGATGATGGTTGTCTCTGAATAGGCTGTGGTAGGGCGAGCGGTAGTCTCTGGTGGGATAGGGCTAGTATTTGGCCAGGTGAGATGGTACCGACAAGTGACAACATTCAACGTGATGCCTTTGATGCAAGCTTCTGCATCCATATAACACTTGTTGTAATAGGTGAGTCCATCAGAGGCACAGGTAAAGCTAGGCTCCTTTTCACACCTGTCTTTGCATTTGCACACGGGCTGTCCGTCCCAGATATCGCACTCCGAGCCTTGCTGGATACACATAAAACGGTCACACGTTGCCTCTTTGGGCATCCCGACAGGCCCCTTCTTCCCCTTGACATCCATGTACCGAGCTGCCACGCAACTCTTCGTACCGCAGACATTGGGGCAGCACTTCTCAAAGGTCTCGCATTCCTAATACGAAATAAAATAACCAAACCGTTACTGGGACTCAAGGGCAAGTCATTTTTTAGAAACACAAGCAAGCAGAAAACAGTGAAGCTTTCAGCGCGCTTCCTTCTTGTGCTGTTAAGGTTAAATTGGAGGATTAGGCTTAGGACCCCCAAGTTCTCGTCCCAGTTCTGCTGCAGAAGACCCGGTGTTTGAGGACCTAGGATAAGTCACTTTGCCTCTCTGAAGCTGATTTTTTTTTCCATCAGTGATATGGGGGCAATGTCACATTTCTGTCTCGCAGGGAAAGCTATGAGGGCAAACTCACTGCTATTTATAGAGATTTAAGATCTTTCAGTGGAAGATGCTGAAGAAGGTAGAAGTATAATTTTTTTTTCTTAGAACATGAAGTCCTAGAAGTTTTATATATTTTTTTATATTATTTGCACAAAAGAGTTGATTAAAATTCCACAACCACTCATCCCCCTCCCCGGTGGTAAAACACTCCTAATGGCAAAGGACAAGGCCCTGAAACAAGAGTGGATGGAAAGTCTTATCATATGGCTCTAGACATTAATCCTTCTTTTCCCCAGAAGTATGTGAAGTATTATTTGAATTTCCTGAGACTAGCAGCATACTTTGGGAGTGAAAACAATCACAGATTTATAATTGTTCTTTGTCTAATTTATGGCAAATACCTCCGAATTTAAAGTGCAAACCAATTCTTGCACCAGAGTTACTTTGGTTTCCATGATGCAAAAAAGAATCCATTGATGGACTGATTTTTATTTCTACGTTGGTCTTACTATCAAATGCAGCTTTGAGAAGGCACAGTGAAGAGTTTTTGTGTGCTGGGCAGTAGTGGTGGCCACCAATTTTATACCCTCTCTGCTCGTGCCCGGGCTGATCCCAACTTTAGTTGTGCTGCTGAGCGTCCGTTGATACCGGTAATTTAGGCAGCAGGTGTGAATTATGGCCAATTCCAACTTTTGGTTGGTGTTAGCTGCATTTTGCCCTTCTGACCGAGAAATGTAGTTGAAACGGGTCTGGCATCATAATAGAGAATGTGTCATTCGTGGATTACTTTGAACATTGCTGCTATATATGTAATGGGGTATGATTTGGGCCTCTATTAGACCTCTGTAGTTTTAATGAATTCAGTTGAATTTCTCCATAACAGAGGGCAACTGTTACAGAGTCTTTCTAATGCCATTAAGTTAATGATCTGGCCACTCCTCAGGTACCATATGTGTTAATTCAGAGGAACTAGATGATGCCATATTGCAGCTCTTTCCCCATTTCTGATCAGGCAGGACTAAGATGTGTAAGCAAATTTGCAAATTCTTCAGCTGTGGTTAACCCGCGTAGCTTTAACTGCAGCGGTGGAGCTCTACCGCTTGGTAGCCACTGCGAATCTGCATGGGGACTTTGTTCTGCTCTCCTGCACACCCGATCTTTTATTTCCCCAAGTGGTGTCTGGATTTCACTTTCTGTCCAGTAAACTATGAAAGCAATGTCCTCAACCATCATGGGAGCAGTTTTTACCATTCTTTGCAGCACCTGGCGGTTGAATTAAAAAGTCAGCTTAGTCAGAAAAGGTAATGTAAGACTAACATCTTGTTACCCAGCACACGAGCACATCAGCTCGCTTTGTGGTTTTTTTGAACGACACCTGCTTTCTTGATGGACAAGTACAAATTGTCACTATTTTTAAAACACAAATCCCGCTAGTCGAGAGCAACTGGAATTTTTTTTTTGATGTTGTGCATCGTGACATGGTCACCTTGGTTTTGACTGCAGAGTCTTTATTGCTGGAGAGGATGCAAGGAGGCAGGAAGAGCAGGTTTTGACAGATGCCAGGTTGAGTTGGCAGTGCTGGCCTTTGGAAAAATGATCTTCCGACTTGTCAGCTAAGCGCATACTGAGCTGGGAAAATCATAGGAGAAAATATCTGCATGGTCATTTTTACCAAGTGCAGCAAAGGCTGGTGATGTGCATGCCAAGTCAAGTAGCATCCTAGAGAATTCTCTCGTGGGAAACAAAGTCTTTATCATGGCAACCAGAAATGTTGAGATTGAGGCAGCTAACGTGCCGTGAGCTGGTCCAATAACAAATCAAGTTCCTGAGCCTAAGTTGTCGAGGTTCGGCAGTTCCCTTGGGCGAGACAGAGAAATCTATGTACGCTCCAAGTTGTATAGTCAGTTAGAGAAGTGGCTCCGTTGAAATATCTCCTCCCTTAGCAGGTCGGTCATCAGCCATTTTTATATTTAAATACAAGGTTTCATTTAAACACATGCATTGCCTGGATCACATCATGCACACTGTTGATGCCTTTCTACTTTATAATAGAAATACATTGCGACACAAACACACACACATCTAATTGCCACGACCAAGGATATAAAAATGTTCATCACTCACCAAGTCCGCTTCACACTCTCTCTTGCAGGTGCTCTGTGCATCTACCCACAGGTTAGGGTTCATGTCATTCGGGCATATCCCAGCATGAGAATACCGTATTGGAGGTAAAGCGTTACCCTTTAAGGGGACCTCCAACAGCAAGAGAACAGTGGTCTTCCCCAGCAAGATCCACATCCACTGAGCAAACAGTACCAACGGCATCTCTGAATTTCTCCAAGGAAAGGTCACCAATTGAGCTGATTTTGTTTGTTTGTTTGTTTTTGCAAGCCTGAAATGTTCAGAAAAGTCCAAATACACCTGACTTCTCAACAACTTCAGCAAGCTTCCTTCCTGTCTTTGTCAATAGAGCAGTCTGGTCTGGACCTCATTGGATTAAAGGTCTTAGGAAGTAACTCCCTTATTTTAAGAGAAATGCTAATAGTCCGAGCAGAGTTAGCTGTATTTATACCCTGCCTCTGTTTAACAACTCGGGAAAAGTAAACTTGATTTCTTTGACAGGCACACGCTTCCTATGTCCTGGTGGCAGTCAGACAGATTTGTTGCAAGAAAAAAAAGCTGGAAAGAGTTTAAAAGGCTGGAACTGGCACTGTGGGACCCCTGCATGTTTCTGAATGCAAGGAGGCCTTCTTAACCCCTTTAGACCTAAAGTACTTCCCTATGCTAAGAATGGCATTTACTTCTGAAAGAGCGCTTGTCTAAATAACAGGAGTCCACAATCGAGGGATTTCCCTGCACCGAGGGCATATACAATCACTTGTTAAAAAGAACAACTAATAGGATTGAAGCAATTAAAACTAGGATATCACATTTTAACGCAAGAAGTGTGTGCTGGGGGGGCGGAGGGGGGAGAGACACGTTTAAACTTATCTGCAAAGCAGTGCGTCTTTGAAATCATCCCCATGTCCTTTTTTATGCTGCACTCCAGCCCCACCATCTAGCTACGGAAAGTGTCTCAAATTCCTCCACGCTTTAGGAAAGTACGAGCCCACTGTACAGTGCTTTGCTGACCTCTTTAACAACCACCAAAAAAAAATAGTAACAGTTCAACTCTATGGAAACCTGCATAAAGGAATGTACAGCATTTTTGCATGGGGGGGGGGGAAGAAAAAAATGCAATCGGGCGAAGTTCATAGCTCCCTGATTATTAAAGCGAGGGGCTGATTCTGTGCAGCGCTGGACTTTTGCCAGTAACCAGTGAGGAACTGTGGGACTTGAGCTTGCTCAGCACGCGGCAGGATTAGACCCTTTGGGCCAGATTCTGCGCTTGCTCTTGATGATAAATGCTTCCTGTGAGGCCCTGAACGCCGAGCAATCGCGGCGGAGTCCGAACGCCGCCACATTGCGCTTCTGCTCCACATTTACCCTCGTGCAGCTCACTGCCTCCAGTTGAATTGTTCTTGCTATATGCCGGCATACGCGAGCTCAGAATCGGGCTCTGTTCTCCTTTGGGCTTTTAACAAGCTAATGCAGGGTTTGCGTGTGAAATTTGGGCCTGATTTTTTTTTTCTTTTCTTTTCTTGCTTATGCTGGTTGCACAGCAGTATAACTCAGTTGAGCTCAGTGGAGTTATTCCTGAATAGAGACAAAGCTCCAGTAAAGGTAGGGCCTGTTCCCCAGCGGTCATAAATCAGCAGAGTTTCACGGACATGAGCAGAGCTATGCATCTGTACACCATCTGAGGATGTAGCTTAGCCTCCCCCCCTTAAAGGGGGAGGAAAAAATCAAGTCAGAAAGCAGAAACGACGGTGCCGTGCCTCTTGCCTGCCATCCTTACCAAATGGGTCTATTTGTTCTAGTTTGTGTGAAAGCATTTTGACGATATGCACAAAATTTGAATTGCATAAGCATATTCGGATGAGATGCGCTTCCAAATTAGATATTCATGAGGAGCTAAGGCACCAGTTTGCAGTTGATTTATTCTCTCTGAAACTTTATAAACCTGCCCGACACTCGTACAAAGTGCGACTGCACTCCGAATGTTTTATTCAGTAGCTGTTTACAAAGACAGATACAGCACCCTGTGCCGGCTGGAAAAGCCGGCTGAAAAAGACACGTTCCCAAGAAGGACTTAAAATTCTTACAGCTCTGTTAACAACAAAATCACATGTGTTACCGCTTCTGTTGACTAAACAAAGCCACTTTTCATTGTAAAACTGACTCGGGGAGGAAATTTGATCGGCTTTGGAACCGGCGTGTTACAAGAGGGCCCAGGGAAGTATAATGATTATTCTTTGTATTACAGGAGTACCTGGATGATCTCAAGGATGATCCTTGTGTGTGTCGTGCAGACACAGAGCCAAGGGGATGGAGCAAGGGGCTGGAGACCCAGAGCCTTGAGTTCCAGTCCTGACTTTGTCCTTAATCCTGGGTTATTTCACGGTCCATAGTTTGTCTTGCTTCAACTGTAAGCTCCTTGGGACAGGGCAAAGGGCCCACACACTGCCAAGGGGACTAGGGCTTCTGTAATACAAACTTTACATGCCCAAGCTATGTGCTGCTTCTCCCTATCGCAGAAGTGGGTCTATATCCTGACCAGCTGTATTTGGCTTCTGTGATGCCCAGATGCATCCCATGACATCCTGGAAGTGGGTGGGGATGATTTGTCTCGTATCCAGATTGAAAAGGGGCCTACTATGAGTCTGAGCAAAGTAGAAAGGGTACTTTGAACAACCGGGTGTTGGCAGTAGGTATCAATATTCTGCTTCGTTATGCCAAACTTGGATGATACGTTTTCCACAGATGCGTCCAGATAGGGCACTCTTCTCGAGGCACCCAGATATTACACGGAAGGGTGCATAAAAAAGCGATGGGCAGGGAGACTGAGCTGTAGCCTTTGGGAGTCGAGGAGGAAGTCCCCGAGAAACAAAGGAATTCTGGGGATTGACTTGAAGAAATTCTCAAGATGGACGAGCGCGTTCGATGTGGCGATTGCATGGAAAACCCAGCTCAGCTGCCTTAATTGAATCTCTATTGCAGGTTACTGGAACGCTCAAAGAAAGTCCATTAAAATGTCTGCATTTGATGTATTGTCATGCATGGTCTTTTGGGCCACAGCACTAAGGATATAAATGAAGTACAGGAAATAAGTGTTTGCAGAGAAGCCAGCCTTTCGCTGAAAGCTTTTACACAGGGAAACCCTCTTGAAAAACGAACTCATGGCCCAATCCAGTCAGGGGCTGAGAGCCTCCTAGGAAGTGCTGAATGCCCAGAACCCGCACTTCCTGCAGAAGGAGTTAAAAATGCCCGTCGCATTGCTGGAGCAGCCTCCTAATTGCATGGGCAGAGCTGGGAGGGGGGAGGAGAAGAGGGGCGAATGTGTGTAAGAGCAGCAGCACCATGAGTCGATCTTTGAAATCAGTCTAGGCAGCTACTGAGGTTTAGGGAGACTGAGCACTTTGAAGAACCCTTGGCTCCATCTTCATTCCCGTCAGGATGCACCATTGTGCAGACCCTCTTACCAAAGCTAAAGGACGCATCGAAGAAGTGAGAGTTATGCAAACTTCTTTTAAAGCACTGCAATTCTTGCCACCAACAGATAAGGTTGCTTCGGGGTCAGGTAGGGACCCCTGTTGCACTACCCTGGGCTTTTCAGAGCTGCTGGATTAATTTATTCAGTGTCTCTCCTTTAATTTCTCATTAGATTATCGCCTGGTGCAAATCAGTGTAGCTCTGCTGACTTTGATGGACTCCACAGACTACACCAGTTTGCATCAGCTGAGAAGCTGCGTCTTTGGTTTTAAGCTCATTGGGGCACAGCCTTTGTCCTTTTCTTTGTTTCTGGAGTCCCAAACACCCTTTTGAAAGCTTTACAAAAAATAATGATCATTTTCCTTTTGCACAAACCAATCTTTCACAGTCTCTGGATGCCTATGCTGTAAGCCCTATTGAGTAAGGCACGATATAACTTTACTTATACAAGGTACTCAATAGACTCTGTGTCAGATACTGTGGCCATTTAACTTGTACGTGCTTTTGTAGCTGCTACCTGCTTTGTCAGGTATGTTACTGCTCCTCTTGACTAAACAGACATTACCTGATGAAGTAGGTTGTTGCTGCAAAAGCTCATTTCTCTGGACCAGTTAACCTCTCGTTCTAGGTGCCACCCTGCCCTGCCTTTTGCCTGTCTTCAGGCTAGCACAGCTAATCACATCTATGTTAGAAACTGTAAAGGAGAACTCCTGAACTAACTTCTGTCCCCAGAAAAGTCTGTTCTTGCACCCAATTCATCCCTGGAATAGGCCAGCTGATCGCACCCAGTATAGCCGGGAGCACAATACATGGTGCACTAACATCCCAACTCACAGGCAGCTGGAAAAGGCATGGCCAACACACACAAACCAGCCCCGCAGCAGGCTGGGCTGTGAATCATGACTTTGTTGTTGGGCAGCATGGTACCCTATGGCTGTACTACTTCAAAGTGATCATATTGTAGCCTGGAGTCAGCACAGGGATAAAGTGGTGGGGTGCGACATCAAGACCAGCCTACTAGGAAATCAAAATGAAGGCAACCTGCCAGGGCACTATCAAGGAGAGCAGAATCCCACATGATTCAGTAGTGACCCTTTTAGGTACCTAAGGAGCACTCTTTAAGGGACTTTTGTCCAGTCCTCCTTGACCAGATGGCTGGTAGCTGTTATATAGTGGCTATTTAAAAGTGGCAGGCAGTAAAAACAGGAGTAAAAATAGTGCAATAGGAACAGCATAATATGCAGATCCTCAAGGCTCCACCAGTACTCAGACAATTTCTCTATTCTGTTTGGAGGAAGAAAAACATACCTTTCTGATTCTCCATTCATGGCTTCCTTCCAACTCAAAAAGAAACTTTCCAGCTCCTGATGTGGGGCCAGACATAATAGGATTGAAATTCTAGGTTACTCTTAATTCCCTGGTTTCTTACTTAGGACAATAATCCAGCCCCTCTAGTAAGCGCAGTTGAAAATTCATGGCTGTAATGTCAACAGTTACAATTAAACCTTACAAAATACTTTCCTCCCTTGAAAGCTTGGGAGCTCTTTTTGCCATCTCCTGGGAGAACAAGACAGGATCTGGTTGGTGATGGATGGACTGTATGGGAGAGGGGTGTGTATTTGCTCTGGAGGATTCGCCTGCAATTAGAAGGATGTGAGAATAGTGCAGAAACATATGCAGAGAGAGGCAGTATATTCTGCTTAGGGCAAAGATCCTGGCCTGCTTCTCATTGACAGTCTTGGAGGTGAGGCACAGAGCAGAGATGAGGGCCCAAGTGAATCTTCTTTCCTTCATACAGTCAAGTCACCTGCACAGGTGACAGCAGGCGGTGGAGGTAGCAGTAGCACTCTTTGAAGTGCTAATTGGGGTGGTGATGGCTGATGAGGCTGACGTTCCCGTGTTCCCCTGGAGGTCGGCGCTCCAACACCATCATAAGGCTCTTTTTGGAGCATTAGCAAAAGGCTGCAGAGCATATTTCCTTTCCAGCTGCAGGAAACCTTCCTCATCCTGAATATGCAGGAAGCCCCAGGGAGACCAGACATGGTGAGGGAGCCACCAAACACTTGCTTGTCTTTAAATCAGAGATGGGCCAGGGCTGCAGTTCTAAAACAGTCTGAAACGCCACAAGAGGTGAACTGCAGATCTGAGCTCTGTGGCTTTGGCTTGTTTTCTTTAGACCTTAAGGCTAAGTACAGACAGTCAAAAAGCCCAAGGCAGAATCGAGTCAGTCTTCGCAGGTTAGTCTAAGCTGCATAGGTCGAATCGATAAGCAAGTGAACAGACATTCACTTTTGATTCTGGAAATGCAGCCACCTGCCTGCAGTGGCCCAGGCCAGAAGCTGGGGGGTTGGGGGTGGGCGCTCGAGCACGCCTCCCTGCTTAGCTGGAGCAGACAGCTTGGGCC